GGAAATCCGTCGATAATTTCAGAGGAATTTCCGTGGGATTTTAATTTCCGACCATCTCAAACCGACGACTATTTTCCCTCGGAAATCCGTCGGAAAGGCCAGTTTCCGAGAGTTTTCCGACGGATTATGCCCTGGGAAATAGCATGTTTTCTTGTAGTGTTATGCTTGACCAGAGACTACTCGAAGCTTGTGGTTTGGAACCCTTATTTAGGGCAAACCAGGTCGATCGAACTCAGGAATGTTTGTTTTGTGAACAACTTTGGTCTCGGATATGATACTTCGGAAATGCACAAGCACCACGCGAAATTGTTGAGTATGAACTCTATGATTTTGATTCTGATTCATGGAGGGTTCTTGATATCACTCCCGATTGGTATATTGACTCTTTCCATTCTCACGGCGTTTCGGTGAAGGAAAATACTTACTGGATTGCTCAAGATAGGAGAAAAACTCTGGAAGATTGGGGAGGGGAAGAACAAGTTCCGGATGATTTCTTACTCTATTTTGATTTCACAAGAGAGAGATTTGGACCGCCTCTCAAACTACTCTTTCAGGATTAATTTGATGTAACCGGGGCTCTAGTTTGCGTAAGAGAAGAGCAACTCGCGGTGATGTTTCAGCACGAAGATTCATACATGATGGAGATATGGGTGACGACTAAGATTGAGCCCGAATTTGTGTCGTGGAGCAAGTTTTTAGTGTTTGATATGACTCCAAGCGAAGGAATTGAGTGTGCGATTCAACATGGGTGTTTCTTCATTGACGAGGAGAAGAAAATCGCATGGCTTTTTGATCACTCCTTTCCTAAAGATAAGGAGTCTCCAAGACGTAAGCTAGCCTACGTTATTGGAGAAAATGGATACTACATGGAAGTGGATCTCGGAGAATCGAGCAGAGTTGGTCGTCCAATTGTCTGCTCTTACGTTCCAAGTTTAGTGCAAATCGAGTAAAGAGCCTAAAGGAAAATAGAAGAAGAATCTACTACTATCTACTAGTCCCACCTACGGTAATACC